GGCGTGGGGGCGCGCGGGGGGTGCTGGCTGGCGGCCGGGAGCCGTGCTCAGGGACTGCGGTGCCGTGGGCTCTTGCGGCCGCTCTCCCTGCCCTCCTCCGAGGACTCCCCAGGCCCGCCAGCGTTTTTACAGGCAATGCCCTGAAATTGAGGCCACAACTGAGATGTGGCTGTTTGGGTGAGGGGGGTGGGTTAGAAAAGACCGCAAGGGACAGGCTGCGTCTGATTGATTTTCTGCGAGTCGCCTGTGATGGGGCTGGGGGCTGAGCATTGCTTGTGAAGCAGATTCATTTGGCCTTTGGCTGCTGGGGTGTTGGCGGGGTAGGGGGAGATGCTGGAACATTAAAGCAAGCAAATCCTCCCCCTGTGGAGGATTAAAAATAAACAGCAGCTCAATAATGCTGGGTTTGCTTGCATGTCTAGCAGAGCCGGGAGGAATAGGGTTGATGAGAAGGCATAATTTAGCTCAGATTGAGCAGGGGAGGCATGCTCAGGCCTCTGCTCCTTGGGAGGGAAACGGAGACAAACCCTCTCTGTCTTGACGTGTCTGCCGTGTCCTCTCTCCACCAGGTAACCTGCCGCTCATCGGCGAGTGTCTCAGCAGAAGAAATGCATGGCCCCCGGGTGTGAGCCGCTGGCCGTTGGGCGCCTGATGGATGCTCTCCAGCCTTATGTCTATGGGCAGTGTTTGGCTGGGGCTGGTGGCGGTGGGTTCCTTTACATCTTAACCAAAGCCCCGCGGCAGAAGGAAGCCTTGCACCAAATTCTAGCAAAAACTGAGGTGAGATGTGCGCTCCCACCCGGTTTGCTGTCGCGAGAGCCGCTTGCTCCTCACCAAAGCCTAGCAATGCAGGCAGTTGGTGGAGCCTGCCTTACCTAGCGGAGGAGCTAGGAGCATCTCCCCCTGCTGCCAATGGGGTGAGATTGCTTCCTGTCCCCTTGGCCCTCCCCCAGGGCCTTGCAGGCATGAGCCATCCTGAAAGGCCATGCGAAGCTCCCTTGCTGACTCCTGCCCCAACCCTTAACTCTGTTCCAGGGCTTGGGCAACTTCAGCATCCACAGCATCAAAGTGGACACAGGTGGTTTCTCTGTGGAGGTGGGGGGAAGCGATCCTAAAGGCAGTGCCCACCCTGGAGAGGACATGGCCTTGTGAAGGTCTTCAGCCCTGGACTGTTGCTGGTGGATACGTGGGGCAGAGGGAGGGAGCAGCCAGCTGCCCCTCCGAAGCAGCGAAATCCCCATGCTGGAGTCTCAGCAACCTGCACCTGCAGCCAGGACTGGTTCTGGTTTGTATGCTGGCTCACTGACTGCGGGACTGAGAGAGCCAGAAGCCCCTCGATTCATTCCTGTACACCAAGGCCAAGCCCCATCCAGGTCCTGACAGCAGCCCAGCAGAGCCAGGGGTACCCCTCTTGGGAACGGCGGCTGGACCTCAGTTACAAGTCAGCCGGAGCTGCCAGCCCTCAGCACAGGGTCCTGCCCTATCTGCTCTCTCCAACAGCACTCACATGCTGTTTTAGAGCCTGCTCCTTCAGCTGGTTCCAGCGTGTGCCTTAGCCTTTGATGTGGCCTTCTTGTGCTGATATCTGCCCCAACACACACTGCAGCTGGAGGAACTGTGCTGAGCTGGGCAGGAAAACCTTCCTCTGAGGAAGGACTCGGTGGACAGACTGGCTGCTAGCCCCACAATCTGAAGAGCTCCAGGCTGATTCTGGGGGTTTGACCCAGGTTTTTAACGGTTCTCCAAAGGAGGAAGAATAGCATTTGTGACATACCCAAGAGCAGGAGCAAGGTTATTGTTACTGCTGGGCCCTCCTGTTCTTCCAGCAGCAGTGGCCCATGCTGCCTGTTAAGGGTGCACCAAGGTCCACCCTGGATGTGGAACCAAGTCCCCCTACCCCCTGCTCATTTAAGAGACGGTACCAAGAGATTATTTCTGCAGCGAGTTCCTTATCCCTGCCACTGTCTCTTTGAATAAAAGATTGCATGTTCCCAGTATACGTTTATTCCCCTCTGTCCCTAGCAGCGCTCTGTCTACCACTACTCCATGCCTGCAGGCCAGCAAGGGCCTGGGAATGCTAGGGCAAAGCTCAGCCCTCCCAGCAGAGGGTAAGGCAGAGATCACAGGTGGGTGCTGGTCATCTCCCGCTACGACCCCTGCTTATGGTGGGGGGAGGTGGCCTGGGAGCGCTTCTACCAGAGGTAGCGGAGCATTGGGCTGGCAATGCTTGTACTGGTACTGTCTCAAGGGTGTTTGTAATCACACTGTGCCAATGCCAGCTGGCAGGCAGGGAAGATCCTCCTGATGCCATGGCACAGGGTAGAAGAGAAGAACTGGCAGTGGGCTTGTCTACCTTCTCTCCAGCTCCCTCCAGGCACATGTGCACACATACCACCTGAGGTTATTGTTCAGCTGGGTGAGATTTATTTAGGGAGTATCTGTACAGGCCACGGAGAGCCAGCAGGAACAACATCCAGCACCATACCACCCCCTTACCTGAAGCAAATCATTTCTTCCTCTCAGCAGTCTGCCTCTTCCACAGAACAGTCCCCACCACCAGGGAGAGAGGCACTGCTTGGGATTTTTGTAAGACTGCAGTAGCTAACTAACTCAGAAACTATTGCCACTGGTGCAGCCTTCCCATAAAAGTCTTCGGGCAGCACAAGATGTGTGGGGTGCGGGCAGACCCATATCTGGGCCCTACCACAACAGCTCCAAAACTTCCTACCCCCTCTGTGGCCACCCAAAGGAAAGCAGAATAAAAGCAGTCACAAGCTAGCACCAGCTCGTCTCTCAAACTAGCAAGTTTTTCCAAATTAGTGTCACACTACTCTCAACATGAGAGATTTCTGCTGCCTTATTTCTGGTCCCATAAAAGGTTTGAGGCTCTTCTTCCCAGACCAAGAAAAGCCCTTTGCTCTGAGAAATATGAGCAGGATGGCAGACATCACCAGGCAACTACACCATATTACTGCCAGCTAGCCCCAGGGCAGGATGTGGACAGCCTCCATGGTTGTAGTGTTCATGCCATTACGTCCAGGGTGGTGCTCATGTGCTGAAGAAAGCACAAACCAACTACAGGCGCAGCCGCTTGATGTCCTCACTTCGGAAGTCAATTCGGAGAGCCAGCACCTGCCGGACCTCTGCAGGAGTAAGGCGCCAGGTGAGCGGGCCTGAGTTTGGGCCCCAGTAATCCAGGATCTCTGTCACCTGAAGAAAGATGAGAGCTGCAGGAAGGAACTCAGCAGAAGCCGTCTTCACACATGCGTTCAAACCCTGCCTAAGGTTGTGGATGCGCCACGGAACAGTGGGGGGATGAGGGCTGGGCAGTATCTCCTGCCAGTAACCCCTGCAACTAAACAACCATCAGGCATGGGGCAAATTCCCTAGCTGCCCTCCCACAGTATGCATGACAAAATTTGGACAAGGCCAGTAAATCCATGTGGAATCTGGCTGGGCCTCCTGCAGTCCCTGTAGTAAAAGCAGACAAAGTACAGCTTACCCTTTCCAGATTGAGGATGGTGGCCATCTGGGAAAGGCGGGCAAACTTGTCACGGATAGTCCAAGTAGTGACTGTGGTGAGATAGGCGATGAGAGATCTCAGCTCCTTGTCAAACTGCAGACCGCCAAGCTGCAGGGACCAAGGAAGCTCTGTTAAGTCTCCAAGCACACCTGGGGTTGTGCCAAACCATGCACTGAAATAGATATTACAGTGGTGGTGGTGGTGGGGGGGGGGTGTCTCTGAATAGTTAGACCTCCTGCTGTTGCAGATGATAGTGGCTCCTCTTGCACCCACCTAAGAGCTAGCCCCTCCTCTTGAAGCAAGCCCCATCATTAAATGTACCTTTTTCCTGCGTGCACTAAGGCAAGGCCTCTTTGAGCTGGCTACCAGCCATGGCAGAGCATTTCTGAGAGAACTATTTGCCCCTGCCCTGCCCCATCCTTTGGAAGGTAACGGAGGGTTTCATGGTGGAAGATTTGCAGACCAGCCAGACTACGGGGGAGAGGACAGTGTTTGTTTTGCTTACCCTGCTGAAGGTGGATTTGAGAAGCACTTTCTCCAATTCGATGGCTATGAGACTGGTCATAAGACCAGTGAGGGTATCATAAATCACTGGAGACAGTCCAGCCTAGAAGCAGAAACCTGTGTCATTCTTCTCAGGCTAAAAACTGAGCAGAGGGCCCCAAAACCCATGCCTATAAGAGCTTTCAAATAAAGACCCATCACTTCCATGCTCAGTGAGGGGACAGCACTGGCCAAAGCCATCGGTTTCCAGGAGGCCTGCGAGGAATCAGAGAACATCACTGTCTACTGTTCCCCTGAGCAGGGAGGAAGAGTTAGAAGATGCTGTGCAAAGATCTAGCTGAAGCCCAGCAGGCTGCCACGTCTGCTTCCCCTCACCTTGAACTCTGTCATCTGCTGTTCCAAATTGATGATGAACTGCTGGACCCAGGGATCATTGGCTTCATAGTCGCTGAACTCTTCCTGACATTGAAAGATAAGAAAAAAAAAAAAAGTTGTTTATTTGGCCTATTGTCAACAGCAGTAATTAGCCCTGAGGAAAGGGAGGGTGGTGCCTCCTAGGGCAGCACTGCACCCCTTCCATTTTCTTAGGCTCCTCTCAAGCCAAGTGCCGCTGGTCAGGATGGGATGCAGAGCAAGTTCTGGGAGTTTACCTCCTTTTCTGTGCTGAGGAAACAGCAGAGAATGAGAGAGTGGTTGCTCCGATTGCACTGCTGTTCAGAGGATGGACAGTGCAGGAGTACAGCTGGAACGAGAGAACGCTGAGCCTTACCTCCTCGATGTTATGGGAGACGGAGAGGAACAGGTTGATCCAGGGCTTCACCTGGGGTTTGATGGCTGTGCTGTTCAGCTCATTGAGACCTTTGGGGGGGGGGGACAGGAAGAGGACATGAGAGCAACTGAGCATGCTTAATGTCCAACAACACAACTGAGCCAGCCAAGCCATCCTGATGCTGCCTCACATCCTCCCTGCAAGCTGAGGAAACCGACCCGCAGACTTGCACAGGAAACTGAACCCAGGTGTCCTAGTGCCAGATCCCACATTCTTCTGATGCTGGATGGCCCCAGGGACATTACTGTGGCAGAAGGTGGAAAGATAGGCCCAGAAGCTGCCCTTGTGTTGACTTGCAGCCTGTCTGAAGGATTCATACTTCCCGTGCAGCTGCAGGGGGTTTCCCAGCAGGAGAGAGGCGCTCAGTGCACATCCCACTGAGACAGGAAAGGACGCAAACACCCGCATTTCCATTCAGTGCCAGCCAATAGGACACTGTGATTGCACTCAACTCATACCTCTCTCCTCCAGTGCAGCTTAGCTCAGTAGGAGGAAGCTAAAAGAAGAGATAGAAGCTGTAACCACAGTTAGTTCCCTAAATTAATCATAACCCTAGCACACGCCATCTCCCCCGAGCCGCAGGTTGTCAGCAAAGGCTGTTCTATCTGCTCTAATGCTATAGAACTCTCTAAAAACCCTCTCCTGCCAACCACCCCCATTTGGCTCAGCAAGATGTCAAGAAAGCTCACCCAGCATGAAACCATTCAGGTACTAACACTGCCTGGCATTTGATGAAAGTTTTTAACTAAAATTGGCGTTTCTGAGCAGGCCGTGCTGGCAATTGCCCTTTTCCAAGGCAAATGCAATGTGTGTGACTCAGGCAGTGCGGGAACTGGTTGCCTAGCATCTTGATTACTTTGTAGCCAGTTTTAATACTGCACCAGCACTAGACTGGAGTTTTACTGCTTATTCATGAGCTGTTTGGTTTCAATATTGACCAGGAGCCTCAAGAGGGTTCACCTGCAGTACCAGTCTGAAGGCATCTGATTGCCATGTAAAAAATTGTCTCGCCTCTCTGTGAAGTAAGATGATAGCAAACCTGGTTCAAAGTGGTCTCTTTTGCTTGGCTTCTTTCCACAGGAGTATTGGGCCTTCCTGCTCCCCTTCCTGTCAGAGACCACTGTGAAAGTCTAGAGGAAAAGGTTCCAGCATGCCACATGAGAGAATGACTTTAGCCAAAGCACCTTCTGTCCTAACTAGGGGAGCATTTCCACTTGGGGAAAGGAGGTGGAACCTGAGAGAAGAGCAGCTGCTTCTCCACCACCGTCCCTTCTAGAGTGTTGACTAACGAGGCTCCGGACGTCTCAGCAACATGCCAGACCACAAGGGAGAACAGAGTAGATGGGAATGCTATTAATATTTCTTATCCTTGAAATGCTGAAATGGCTACTACTGTGTACTGAGCGAAGACAAAGGAACATCCCTTCCGGCTCTGCAGCTGCTTCCAGAGCTCTTCTGCAGCTGCCCAGCCAATGTGTCTGTACAAAGGGGCTGGATCTGTTCACAGGTCCCAAAGTGGACTGATTTGCCTCCTTCTGTCCCCCTACCCAGGACTCCTGGAGTCAGACATGGCCCAGGCCATGATTCCTGCCACCATGTGTTGGAGGCCGGCAGTAACGACAAAATACTCACTTGCAGGAGGTCACGGAATTTGTTGGAGACTGCAGCCATGTCAGAGAGGCAACTGTCAATCTTGGCCTGCGCTTGTTCCCCCCCAATACCTTGGCTGAGCAGTTTGGTGCAGTCACTCTGCAGGGAAGAGATCCATGAGCAAGTCGCATTAATAACCTGGGTTGCTTCTATCCCTTCACACTGCTGTGCTCTGGCTGCCTGCCAGCATGCTTGCAGGCATGGAGAACCACTGAACTCTCACCCTTGTGAAGGCAGAAGCTGCTGGCTCCAGCTGGAGAGAGAAGAGTGGGAAAGAAAGCCAAGGGCCATGCAGCCCAGCACCAGAGAACCATAACCTCTCAATGATGCACATTTTAATCAATTGACTCCTGTGCCAGGTTGGTCAACCTGGAGGAAGTGGTACTTCCAGCTAGACCAAGTTACACTACTAAATATTAGCTAGAGCTTGCTCTGGCAGCCCAAAACCGCTTTCCTAAGGCAGGAGGGCAAAGATCTCAGGAATTTGGGCAGAGGGAAGTCCAGAAGGTTTATTTGACTCCCTCAGGCAGGTTATGGTTACGGGAAAAAACAGTAAAGAATCCAGATCGCACCTCCAAAGTCTTCTTTAGGGTCATGATGTTGTCACTGCAGACTTCAACATTGTTTAAGGTCACCTGGGGGAAAAAAAAATAGAATTCACTGAAGTTTCTCAGCACATCAGCCACAAGTCTGCACATTTACTCTATGCCTTGCTCAGTCTACAGACTGAAATGCAAATGTTTAGGGGGACAGAGGTGCTCCCACGTGATCAAATCACTGCAGATTCAGAGAGTTATGTCAAGCTGAACCACAGTAATGGACCATTTGTGTGCTGAACCTGTAGCTGCTGCAAAGTCTGAATTAGTTCGGTCCACTTCTCTTCCTCGCCATTCTGCCTATGATGTTGCAGCCAAGCCCCAGTCTTGGGTGACTGACAGAAGAGAGGATGTACCCCCAACTTCTTTGCTCATTTCTATGACAGCGTCATGAAGAAAACACGCCAGGAGCAGCTGGAGATGATGGATTATACGCAGCACATCCAGAGAAGCACAGGCAGCAGGAAGGCACTCTCATCTAGGCAGAAGGAATATCTGTTCTTCACTGAACAGGCTGTTCTTTACCTGCTGAAGCTGAACTAAATGTCAGCATAACACTGGGGTTTGTGCAGACAGGGAAATGCAGCAAGCTGACAGGTGAATGAGGAATCCAGTGGGAGAACTGACATTTTAAGCACTTTGCTTCAAGAAATCCAGAGACCTGTAACCAAGAGTTTAATGAAATGAGTGTTCAGTCCATCCCTCTCCCTTTGCTGGTGCCTTTGGCGCCTTCTCTCCTGGCACAGAGAAAGTCCCAAGGAGCCTCTTCAGCACTGGCTGCTCACAGCAACTTACAAGGAGGGGGACAAGTCAGCGTGAGCCAGCCCCTCTTCAGTGCTCTCAGCGTCTCTGCCCACATGTCTGCACAGCATCAATATGCAGCAGGGCTGGCTGAAAGGAGACAGCAGATCTGGACAGAGGACAGGAGCGACAGCTCTTCAAATGCTCTCCCGCAGCCTGTAACACTCTCAGCTGCGCTCAGGCCTGCAGAGAACTGCAGCGCTGCTACTAGGAGAAAGTAACAGGAGGATCTTGCACACTCAGTGGAGCAGAGAACCCTGCTCTAATAGTAACTCTCTCATCTGATAAGCAAGGATGAAGGAGCTCTGAGCTTGGATCGCAGAAACTTTCCCATCCAGGGGAAGATGTGGCTGAGACATGCTCCCACAGCCTTTGTGCTGAGCCTGTGAAGTAAAAGGTTGATGGCCGTTTCAAAAGAGCAGAGACTCTTCCCTAGCCCGGAGCATTATCACAGCAGCCTAAGAGGCAACCACAGGTTCATGCTTGGACAGGCCTGGTGTGTAAGCCCTACAGACACGAGGTGCAGTAGCAGCATTGACCAGATGTCCAAGGTCAGGCCACCCATCACACCTCAACAGCTTTTCGGGTTCTCTGAATATGCGATAGTCGCATATATCCTTCTCTCCTGCTCCCCATCGTCATTGTTTTCCCCCCTACCCCAACTCATCGTACACCAGGACAGCTATCAAACCCACCAGAAAGGACTGCTTGGCCTCGTCGGTGCTTTCGATGCCTTTGGTATCGAACTTGCCCTGCTGGAGGCTACTGTGCATGATGCTCACGGCACTGGTCACCCCTCTCTGGAAGTCCTGGAAGGTGGTGGCTGGAAAGCCCTGCTTCAGCTTGTTGTACAGAACCTCCCTATGGGGCAAGCAGAAAATACCAGGGCTCACAGTAAACACAGCAGGCCGGGACTGAGGCAGCCATAGTAAAGTCATGCTCTGTGACACAGGACAGCACTTTGCCTGAGCTGTGACCTGACCACGGAAGTGGAATTTTTAGAAGGGCAAAGGAAGGCTGGCAAATATCTAAAGGATGCAAGGCTGAAATGGAAGAGAAATAAACAGCCCAATTTCTGAGCTTTCCTCAGAAAGCTGTCTGCAGTTGTCTGCTGAGCTCAGTTTTCCACTCCCACGTTGCAATGAAAAACAAGAACAGGCCAGTTCTGCGGGCTCACTCCAAGGTACAGCAGGCAATCATTCAAGTCAAAACAGAACAGCAGTCTTAGGCAACCCAGAGAACAACTGGCAGCGACCATGTACCATCAAGCCGCATATCACTCACCAACATTGTGTGGTGCCTCAATCTCACAGGGACTTCGGGTCTCAAGGTTCATCCCTGTTTCTCTTTTAAGCCTGTCTGTCCTACAGGTGACTATCACTGCTGTGACAAAGGTATGCCTAGCTTCAGCCTGCCACACCAAACCTAAGCCTGCTTCCTGCTGGCATCTTCCAAAGGCAGAGAACACAAGGAAGGCCGTTTGACATCAAATACTATTTGCAGAACATCAGGAAGAGACAAGTTACTATGAATCCAGTGTCTTTTCATTACCTGAAGTCGGACTCCAGCTCTGTGGTGGAGTGGTTGATCATGGCACAGAGACAGTCTATACTGGAGCTGGATAGAGCGCGCCCAATGCACTTTTTCACGATATAAAACACATCATCCACCATGCTGGAGGTGAGCTGGCCCTTCTCGTAGCTGTCCATGGCAACAGCCTACAAGGAAAGCCGTCTTAGTGCTCTGAGCTCAGCGAGTGAAGGCACCTTCTCAGAGCAGTGCTGTGAGACCAAACTGTAAAGAACTGCCAGCCTTCTTGTTTCACCCTGAGCTAAACTGAACCAATGTGGCCTGGCACCACTCATTCTAGTTTTCAGTAGCCCATGGCAGCTTGGGGAAGATCTCCAGAACCTCCCACCTCTATGACTGGTCCGAAAAGTCTTTCCACTCAGTAGAAGTAGCTCTTCTGAAGCCAATAAACAAGCATCAACTAGGAAAATATGGGCTTGCAGAAGTGTTGCTCCTTCTCCTGCCGGGCAACAGTTTGTCTTGCTGCAGCCTTCTCACTCAGATTCCAACTAAAAACCCAACACTACACTGCTTAACGACAAGAGCCAGGTTGGGGGCTAGTCCACCGGCGTGGGCATTGCATGGCACCGACTCTCCCCACAGGATGGCAGCTGGAGGACCTGCACTTCCCATTGCTAGAGGGATCTTCAACCTAAGGAGCCAGCCTATCTCACAAGCTACATTTGGAGCAGTTACTTTGTGCCCTCCTGAAATAGCTCTGGCTCTGCAGCTCCTGGTGCAGCGTAACCCTCTAGCATAGGAAGCAAGGAAGAGCAGCGCGAGGCTGACGGAGGGACGTGACTCGAAACAGTAGCTACATTCTGCCAAGCACCTGGGAGGTGGGTCTGGCTGCCAGCCCTGCCCAGGCACAGAACCAGCCACTTTCCATACCCAAGGGTATGGTTTGGAGGCAAAGTTCAGAAAGGACTGCTTGCTTTACAAGGCCAAGGGAAACAACAGGCCTTTCAAACTGCTGCAGACCTGCGACATAGCCGTTTCCCTCCCTCAGGGCGCTAAGCACAGGACTGTGGAGGAGACACGAAGGCCTCAGGCCCTAGCAGAGAGCCCAGGCTGCTGCAAGCAGCAGGCTGAGCCCTACCTTGTTGACAGTTTCCCTCATGAAGTATTCCTCCATGGTGATGTAGTAGCCAATAAGCTCTTGCATGGTACGGCTCAGCAGACAGTTGTTGAGGAGCTTGTCCAGGTATTTCTGATGCTCTACAGAACACAAAGGAGAACTATCAGCAGGGATTGTGCGCCAGAAATGATTCCACATCATCACCTTGTTGCCTAACAAGCACCCAATGGACACGTACTTGCAAAGCCCAGCCTGCAATAAATCACAGGTCTTATCTGTGGATCTGAAAGAGCTGAGCTGACTTTTGCAGGTGACAGAAGAAGTGATTTCTAGAGCTTCCTGGAGTGCCAAAACCCCCAGCGTGTTTTCCCCGTGGCCTCCGCCTTTAGGATCTGTGCCTGCAATTACCAAAGGGCCTTCCCTCTTTTTCGGGACCTTGTTTATTATCCTCTGCAGTCATTGCTATGAGGTTAGTTTTGCTCTCCTTTTAGAGGGGAGCAACTTGATCCGTCGGACTAGAAGACTGAACACTGAATATTTCCTGTACCAGTGACATTAACTGTTGGTCCAGATCCTTTCCCAGAGGGTTACCCTTCTATCTGCCCTGCTCCACGGTTACATGCTTCCTGAATATTGCTTTTCTCATGCAGGCATCTGATGTAGTGGTCACAGGAATTTTTTCCCAGCAGAACTGTAGTGGCCTGTGAAGTCATGACTTAAGCAGCTTCTTCCCCCACAAAGACGTGCCAGAGTATGAAAAGCCCCAGTGCAGAGGATGGTTATGGCAGGACTTTGACAAGAAGCCCAGTGCTGAAAATGGATTTGGGGAGGCCAAATACTCTTCTGCAGAGTGCTCCCACAGTGCCTTTGTGGAACCTGTGCCGCTCAGCTCTTGACACTGACTCAGACACGTCTCCTCTCTGAGCACCTTCAAGGAGCAAAGAGCCTGCAAGTGTTGGTATTCAAGGTGTTACCTTGCTTTACCTCCTCTGAGGCCATGGAGTCTCCCACCTCAAAATCAGATATTATTCGTCTCTTGATAAACCTCAGGTAGAGCTCACTGCGGGCATTCATCAAGGTTACCTCTGTTAAAATAGGGTCAAGTTCCCTGCAAGGGACACAGAAGGCATAAAGGTAGCAAGTCTACAACAGGAGGGGCACTAATTTAACTTGGTAAAGTAGTGCGTTCTCTGTTCTCTCACTATGAGATTAATACCGCCCATCTCCATCTGTGCCGCTGAGCGGCAAAGCTCAGCAAAATCACTGTTACGTGCACGTAGTCTCAAGTCTGTTTTCAGATATCCTTGGGAGTTTGTTTCTGCTGAGACTTGCTTCTAGCCTTGACAGCTCTCCACCATAAGCTGAGTTAAACGGAGACAAGTTATGCTGGGTAGCAGATAAGTGCTGCCAAACGGATCCGATCAGCACTTCATCTCGTCAGTCACACTGTGGCAAACAGGGGCCAAACACCACCTGTTTCAGAGAAGGGTTCCCCGACTTAATTTGCTTGGCAGCACCAGCATTTCCTTGCTCTGTGCCTAGCCACATGGGGGCACAGGACTCGCACCTGCCTGACCACTTTGAAGCAGACTGCATGCTACCAGCATTGAGTACCACAGCTTGGGATCTCTACTGCGGAAGAGTCAACAAAAACCTCCAGTGAACAAATCCCAGAGAGATCTTCCTGAATAAGAGATGCTAGTCCACCTGGGGGTTACTTTCCCATATTATAATCATGGTCACCTGGACAGCCCCCATCCAGGGGATTTGTTATGTACGCTAAACATCACAGATGTACCTAAAACCCATAACTTGTCAAAACAGTCTCTTAAAAATCATTACAGAGAAGCTTCTTTTTTTTCTTCAACGATGTAAGCACAGCCATATTAAAATGACAGTAGTAAGGACTGCAAGAGTCCGAAGAATCTGATCCAACTTCAAAATTAGCCCTGTTTTGAGCGGGAATTTGGTCTAGGACCTTCAGCACTCCCTTCCTACCTCTATTTTGCTATGATTCTATGAGCCTTACATGCCAGTGTTAGAAATTCCTGGTCCCTGCCACCTCCATACATGAATCTGGACACAAGAGCACATGTTTGTCTGAAAATGATGAAGGATCTGTTTGAGCTCAACAGCCCAAGAAACGTGAAACCAAAAAAGCACATGACAATGCTGAACACACACAGTGTTCCAATCAGAGATGACTTCGCATTTAACAATGAAAAGAAAGACTGTCGCATCAGCAGCTTTTTCATCAGTTTGCACAAAAGCACGTTACAAACACTGCTCAAAGCCTCACAACAAACAAGTGGGGTAAGGAATCCTTATTTTTATTTTATGGATGAAAAAGCGAAAGCTCAGAAAGCCTGAGATGCATCCACAGTTACCCAGAGCAAGTAATAAGTGGTTTCGTGTATTACCACAGAAGTAACTGGTCCTATAGGATCACAGATAGATCTTGCTTTAGGAATGTAAGCCTTCTTTCAAGGCATGTTTAGAAGCCATACAATGCCAGATGGGCTGGATGCGTTTTCAAATGGCCTTACTTTAGGACTTTGCAAATTCTCAAGATAAAAAGAGGAAGAAGGAGACTGAAAGCAGTTCAGCTCATTACCAAGAAGTTGATTTTACAAAATCTCTACAGCAGCAGTATAGATAAGTAGGACCCAAAGATTTACTCCTGATTTTGCCACCAATTATTTGCCCAGGGAATTGCTCCATTTCGTGGGCTCCAAGGATTGTACTCTGACCATCAGCAGGAGGTGGGCAGAGCCATGTAAGTCTCAGTCCTTTGTGTGCCATGATATTCCCAATCCTCCAGCAATGACCAGGGCCATGACTTAAAAGTAATGAATAAGCAAAATAAAGCAGCACTGAAGCTGCCCTTATACAAGGGCAGTGAAGGGCACCTAACAATTGGATTGTATGCTTTAGTAGCCACAAAGCCTCTGGAAGATGGGAGAGTTATCTAAATGCTAAGTAGTGTTAATGACAGATCAAGGACGGAAGGTTAGAGAGCAGAAAGGGTTTTGTTTGTACCTTGGCTCAATCTTCTCTGTAGAAGAACTTCTCATCATGCTGTTCTGAACCTGCTGGAACTACAAGCACAAAAACGGGAGATTCATCAAAATCTTTGTTGGTGAAGAGAACAGCCCCTTCTCATGCTATAGCCTAAGGAGGTGCCTGCTCAGGGATGGCAACAGGAATGCTCTGTGGGAAGCACCGCCAGGAAAAGGAACTGCCTCCCCTTCAAGACGGAGCCCAGCCTGCCAGGAAGGGCTACAGGACGGGAACTCCAACAGAGGCACCGAGGTGCCTGACCATAAGACAGCTACAGCAGTCCTGCATCTCATGGGCAGGAGACAGCTCATGGGCAGCCACAAGGCAGTGGGGAAGGTGGGCTGAAAGCACCCTACAGACCTGCAAAGGACTCTGTGCCCAGGGTCTAATTATTGTGCTCGCAATGAACCCTTCCCTGCAACAGAAGAGATAGCTACAGGCTGGACTCCTACAGTCATCAGTGCAGATATGGAGCGAAGCAAGATTTCTCTCGACGCGCACGGCCAAACTTGCCACCTCTGTGGCAGTTGAAGAGCTGGAGGCTGCAGCTGGCTGTGTCAGACAGCCTCATGCACTCTTACCTGCCTGTGATAGTCCCTCTGTTTGATGAAGTTGTCCACCACCTTCTCCACCTGCCGGTCACACTCCACTTGCAGGTGCTTGATGAGAGTGTACAGCCTCCCTGGACCATAGTAAGTCTCCACGATGGGTTGGTGGGTCTCCACAATGCGAGCAATCCCTGCAGGGAGAGGGGCAGCCGTGCTGGGGAATCTGTTCTGCTCTCAGGCACATGAGACAGCCTCAAGCGAGACAAATCCCATCCAGTCTGGACCCAGAGCAGAGCTGTAGGGGTTCTCAGACAGGGCTTAACATAGGATCATTCATTCCCCAGAGGAACAGTTCAGACTGCCCAGCCACTCTCCAGTGGCCTACCGGAGGTCAACCATCACCACCCCCTGTTCCATGGCACCTTTATCTCTGCATATGGTTCCCTCTGTCCTCTCCCCAGTTTATTTCAAGGCTATAATGCAGATCTCCCGGGGTAGAAGCCACCTTTCTTCTCAGAGAGCTCTTGCCATGGGATGTATGTCAGCTGCCATGTTACCCAGAAAGATGCACGGTGTTCTGAAGATACGAAGCTTTCCCAGGAGAAAGCCACGCTTTGGAATCACCAACTAAATCTGACAAAGGACAAAACTATCGTCCAGATCTAGTCTCAGCTGTCAGTACCTGCCAGGTTACAAGAGAAGAGCAGTGATAGGAAACTCAGCCCGGAGCAAGCTCTGCTCTTACCCATCACATAGATGCCCAAGAGAGCAGGCATAAGTGAGGGCTGAATCTCCTTGGAGAGAAAGCTCATCTTCAGGGAGGTATCTCTCTGAGATTGCTTTCTTCTCACCAACTCTCTGCTCCAAGAGGTAGGAACATCCCCCCGGCACTCCTGCCAAGAAAGCCCCAGCAGCTCTGAGGACCTTCAATAGCATCAAGGGTGCCAGGCTGGGAGAGTGACTTGGCAGTGGTGCAGCCTGGAATTACAGCAGACATAACAGAGAAGGCAGTTAATCACCACGGGATCTCAATGACTGTCTTTGGTGACATTCCCACAGAGCGCTCATATGCTGCCGTGCTGCTTTCAAGCTGCCATGGTCCTCCTCGGAGAGCCAGGCCAGGAGGCAATAACAGCTGCTCAGTCTTAAGGGATCGGATTTGTTTGCCTGGAGAGCTGCAGGTCTCAAAAATCCTTTAGGGAACAGCCATTTGTTTTTAGGATGAAGGAGGTGTCTGATCCAGGTCTCATGAGATCCTCAAATCCAGTGGGTTATCTAAGGAGAAATCTACAACTCTCCCAGGAAAACACTTGTGCAGTCCCTTCAGCTGAGAAAGCTCTTTATGTCATGCAGAAAGCCTGCCTCCTGAGGACAAGGGCGCCTTTGCAAGTCCACTTTGTATCTGCACAAGCTGAACAAAGGAAAGCTTATTCTAATGCCCTCTGCTGGCTGGGAAAAAGCCCATTAGTCGTGTCTCTGTCCCTCTAACATGACATTCCCATAGCTGGAAGGGGGAGGAGGCATTTTGCACCATCTTGGAGCTAGAATTTAAAGCTTTGAAGCTGATGGACAACCTTATCATGGATCATTTTCCATCCATCAGCAAAGAAGTAAAAGAGAAGATTACCTTCAAAGAGCAGTGTCAGGGTATCTGCAAAGATGACAGCAGCTCGACGGTCACTCATGTCTGTCCCCATCACCAGCAGCAGGTTCTCCTCTGCTTTGCTGGCCACCTGAATGACAACGGGACCAGTCAGCTGGTAATACTCAGAGATATTCTTCCTCCCATAGAGTGCTTTTGCTGGCCCTCCCATTGCAAGAGCTATTGCTGTTTTCCCTCTTGAAAACAGGGATCCTTTGCTCCTTCCTCTCACATGCAAAACTCAAGGATCAAGGGAAGGCAGAAACTTGTTCTTCTCTGTCTAGCCATAGTCAGAGCATTGCTTCCTTGTATGAGCTATACAGCAAGCCGAGAGCAAAACAGGGAAGGACAAACTAGACAGCCAACCAGTGGGATCTATATTCAGACACCAGAGAGCCCATCCTAAGGCACAACAAGCAGAGAGAGAGTTGAACAGACCAGTGCTGGTTTCAAAGATGATTAACATGCCAGAGCCAAGATCTCATTCCATAACAACTATGGACAGAAATTAGATTTCTCTTTCCCCTAAGAGACCAGCCAGGTCTTAGCCAGTATGTGTCACAGAATGTGTCACCTGCTTGCAGAGGTACTCCGAGAACTTGCTTAGCCCCTCTTCATGTAAGCCTAGCAGAGGAAATATCTTGAAGAACCGTTCCACCTGGGGCAGGTCTCCCTGCCTCATAGCCATGTCAAATTTCTCTGTGACAATAGTCTTCAGACGCTGCTCTGCTTCCTGCAGGAGCTTCAGGTTGGCATCAATTATGCCCCCTGGTCAAAAAGTAGGAGAAGAAAGGGAAAGATGGCAGGACAATGTTAGTGCTGTGTCCAGTACTTATTGACCCAACGGAGAGATGAAAGCTGTGCAGTCCTGAGGTGACAATCATGAGGCTGAAGGCCAGGAGGGCAGCAGGCACACTGGAATTCTTCTCCAGGCCATAACAAAGAGAGCTGGGTCTGTGTGTGACGTACACCCCTCTAATGTCACGGTCTCACATGGAGAACGCAAAGACGTCCACAGGATACCACAAGAAAACTCCAGCCCAACCCAAATTGGCAAATTACACCCTAGCTCCAATCCAGGGACATTTCTTTTAGGCATCAGGCAATTTCTTCCTTGTTTCTTCATGTCCAGCTGCTTTGCTTGGAATCGCACTGCAACACTGCAACAGCTCCCAGAGCCTTCTCTGTCTCACTTCTCTCCTACGCATTTTGTCCTTCACCCAGTCAGCATCTGATAAGCTACTGAGGCCTTCTGCCAGGAACTGTCCCATCAATTAATGATAATTCAAACCTAATGACACTTCAAAGCTTTCACCCCTGCATTACTATATAACATATTAATATCTTTGGCTAGCATTGGATCTTCTGCTTTGGTCTACCAGGCTGAGGCAATCTGTCATAGGAAATCAGGCAGTTTCTAGTTATCTTACTGGAAAGTAAGAAAGTTATCTTACTGACTTATCAGCTCCTCCTCATAACCAGTACTCACCTTCCTTGCCCTGTCGACTGAGCTCAATGACTGATTTATCCAGAGACAGATAGCGATGGATATGAGCTGCTGCTTGTTCATAATCTTCATTTCGCAGGGCTGTCTGAACTCCATCCATGCAGAATTTTAGGTCCAGGATGTCATCAGCTCTCTGAATTGCCTGATAGAGTCGATTCTGCAAGAAAAGCAAACACTAAGGTTTCCTTCTGATGGCTGGACGAGAAGAATAGAATTATGAAGACGGCATGGAAAAAAAAGAGGGAAGAAACAGATCAAAGTGATACTTCTGTACAAGATAAACAACTAAGTAAGCAGAAAACCCCAAACTACTTAAAAAGTCATAACAACGAGGACTCTGAAAGAGGAACAGCAATTTCCTATCGAAACTTGGCTCGATCTCACAGGCTATACTCCAGCCTGTGTCAGGTAACAAACAGGGCAAAGACTACAGACACAACCACACATGCTCTGTTTCAATTTGAGCAGAAGGTTTGCTGGGTGCTGGGTCTTGAAGTCTCTTAGCCTATCTCTGTACAAAGAACATGACAGCTTAGATTCCTGCTCAGTCTCAGATGACTACGACCATCTCTGCTGTCCTCAGTGCTGCAATCGCTGGATGACAGAAGGCTAATGAAGACTAATCTCAACTTATTCATCATATTTCACCAGGAGCTGCAAGGAGAGAAGGGAATATTGAGGAGTCAGCTGCTGTATAAAAAATCACATGCATTATTTACTCTTGTATCCTGCAGTGTCCAGGAGCCAGCAAGACACCATTGCCTAAAAACACTAGATAATGCCCAAGCAAAGGATACAACAACTTCCAGCCTCTCTGCCCACCCAAGAAAAGAGCACATTCCTCTATTTGACACTTGTGCTGTGAGGACATGAGCAGGTGCAGAGGCAGAATATGTCTCGGTGCTGACAAGCCCCAAACACCCGTTGGTCCAGTTACCTTGGCAAGGTCAAGCTGACGGACTTTACTGCTGACGTTCTCAGCCAGGTTGCAGGTGAAGGTGATCATCCCTGCCAACTGCTGGGCATCCCCCTCAATAAGCTGCAAATTAGGGCTGGAAACACACGCAAATTGAACACATGAGAAGCAGATATGAAGTAGTAGGATGGTCTAGAAAAGCCAGATGTTTCTTTCCCCAGACCCAGTTGCTCCTGTCAGCAATGGTTTCTCTCATTTCATACCCCTCCTACACGATCAAATCCCCCAAAATCAAACAGTTTGCTTTGGAAGAGGCTGAACAGATAGACTAATCGCTATCTCAACACCAGTAAGAGCATGAATGAGCTGCTGAGGGCTTAAGGAACTGTCCGCTTCTGAAGTGGAAGATGAAGTCTGTGAACTTGAGCTCTAAATTTTTGCTAGACTTGAGGCCACTTATAATGGCTTTCCAGACTGCTAGCACAAACTCATCATAAAAGAGGCAGTAAGACTTGCTCACGCCTGCAAACAGCCTGACACAACACATCTGATCAAAGGGCTGATTCTGACACCTGACAATATCGGGGGTGAGATACTGTCTCACCTCACTGCTCAACCTACACCAAGAGGGATCAGTCACTGTAAGGGAGTGTAAGGCATCTACTCTGTCAGTCCTGCTGAGAACTGAGAGTCCTGGGTGACGATCCAACTACTCTTCCCTGCCACAAGCTGATTTATGAAAAAACAGTTTATTTAAACTCTCTCACGTCAGATATCTTCTGAGAATGAACTGGTTTCCCTTGCTGGAATGAATTTTCACATCCATGAAGCAAGCAGAGAGATGCTGAAAAGTGCACAGCAGCAGAAAGTAGGGGAGGGTACAGTGATCACTAACCCCATGCGATGAAGCGCTACCATCTTGTTCTCTATAGTGCTTTGCTGTTCCAAGAGGGCATCCAGCTCTTCTTGCACAACTTTCTGAAAAGAAAAAGAAAAAGAAAGTCCTGAGTGACTTTGAGTCCTCTGTAGACTAGCAACAGTTATTACAGATTGCATCAAGCCACAGACACGCAGCTAGCAAAGTTTTAGCACTTGCAAGAGCTCAAATGACAATGAAATCCTCCCTAAGTTCTCATTCGAATCTTGCAATATTTATATTCATACAATATTAGAACATCAGTTATAAAACTTCCTCTTTTTCAACAAAGATAACCCACAAACTCCCCCTGAGGCTGGACTTTCAATATGCCAAGATCCTAAATCAGCAAGCGGCTTACAGTCCTGGGATACAAATTCCGCAGAGGTGACACCACACTTCATCGGGCCTGGGGCTATGGGTTAAGGCAGCATTTAATATCTGTGTGAAAGATCTGGACAACCGCGGCGGCTGTGACAACGAGGCGCCCGATCTCCCTGCCACCACAGCGGCGCTTCGAAGGGAGCTGGGGCGGTGGTGACCAAACTGGAGCCCGGCTTTGGCGAAGGAAAGCTGAGGTCAGAAATGAGGGCATTTTTCTGCTGCTGACCCCGATTCTGTCTAAATTTCTAAGGCATAGCACAAGCAGCGGGGAAGGCAGGCAGCGCCGGTGCTTGGTGCGGAGGCCACGTCGCTCGTCGGCCCTCCCCGCCGGGGCACCGCCGCCTGACAGACCCGGCG